GCGCGAGGGAGCTCTCTCCTCTGCTGCTTCCACTTCAGCCCCCTCGCGCGCCGCGTACTGATGCCGGAGCCGGAAGATGACGTCATCTTCCGGCTCCGGCATCAGTACGGTGCACGAGGGAGCTGAAGAGGAAGCAGTAGAGGAGAGTGCTCCCTCGCGCGCCGGCCCGCCCGCCGGGTGACAGCAGGGCCAGCCTCTGGGGGGCCCTGAGGTGACCGGCTGCTGGGCCCCCCAGGAGAAGAGGCTGGCCCTGTGGGTACATACCGGGGTCGCAGGACCCCCTGCGACCCGGTATGTACCCACTGAATGTGGGGCCCGGACGACCTGAGCAGTCCGGGCCCCCCAGGACCGCCGGGCCCATGACAACCGTTGCGGTTGTCATGCCCTGATGGCGGCCCTGCACACACTCACTAACAGACACATACACACTCACTAACAGACAAACACACACTAACAGACACACACATAGTAACACACTCCCTAACAGACACACTCCCTGATATACACACACTCACTAACAGACAAACACACACTAACAGACACACACACACACTAACACACACACACTCACTAACACACAAACACACTAACACACACTCACTAACAGACAAACACACACTAACAGACACACACACACTAACACACACACTAACAGACAAACACACACTCACTAACAGACACACACACACACTAACAGACACACACACATACATACAAACACACACACATATTCACTAACAGACACACACACACACACACACACAATAACAGACACACACACACTCACTCACTCACTAACACACACACACACTAACACACACACACTAACAGACAAACTCACACTCACTAACAGACACACACACACACACACACACTAACAGACACACACACTAACACACACACACACTCACACACACACACACACACTAACACACACACACTAACAGACAAACACACACTCACTAACAGACACACACACACCTAACAGACACACACACACATACAAACACACACACACACATATTCACTAACAGACACACACACACACACACACACACAATAACAGACACACACTCACTCACTCACTAACACACACACACACACACTAACAGACACACACACACACACTCACTCACTAACAGACACTCACACACACTCACTCACACACACACACACTAACACACTCACATTAACACCCTCACTTTTTTTTAAAATTCAACCCCCCCAGCCTCCTTACCTTTGGGAATGTTGGGGGAATTCTCCCTTTCCCTGGGGTGCAGTGGCTGCTGGGCGGGCGGTGCTGGCAAGGGAACACTTTCCCCTGAGCTCTCTGCTCAGCTCCATCGTGCGCCGCAGAGTGATGCCGGTCACCTGGAGTTGGAACATGATGTCATGACGTCACTCTGTGGCGTGCGAGGGAGCTGAGCAGAGAGCTCAGGGAAAAGTGCTACCTCGCCAGCGCCGCCCGCCTGGATTTTTAGTTAACCACAAGGCTAACAAGACATTTGCCCTGGGCATTTGGGGGGCTGCTTTTTTTGCCACCCCCTGGAAAATGCCGCCCAAGGCAAATGCCTTGTTTGTCTCGAGGCTAATACGTCCCTGCACACACATATATATATATACAAATATACATAGGTGCAGTGTGTGTGATTGTGAGCGGTGCAGCGTGTAAGTGGTGCAGTGTGTGTGATTGCGAGGGGTGCAGTGTGCGTGTGTAATTGTGAAAGGTACAGTGTGGTGTAATTGTGAAGGGTGCAGTGTGTGTAATTGTGAGGGGTACAGTGTGTGTAATTGTGAGGGATGCAGTGTGTGTGGGGTACTGTGTGTATGATTGTGAAGGGTGCAGTGTGTGGGGGTACAGTGTGTGTAATTGTGAGAGTACAATGTGTGTGATTGTGAGGGATGCAGTGTGTGTGGGGTACAGTGTGTATGATTGTGAGGGGTGCACTGTGTGGGTGACAGGGGTTAGGGGGGAGGAGGGGCAGTGACAGGGGGTAGGTCCAGTGGGCGCCCTCTCTCTTCAGTCTGCAGCTCCGCCGGGAGTGAGCTGCAGATCACATGGTGAGTCTCGCGATCTCCAGGCAGAGCTGCCGTGGCAATGCTCTGACAGGCTGGAGATCGCAAGACACCTCAGTCTGCAGCTCACCTCTGGCGGAGCTGCAGACTGAGGCTGCATCGCTGTCAGGGCAGACTGACAGGAGGGGCCTCGCACCCGGCGGCATTGTGTGCAAGCCGCCAGGCCCCCTCCCAGTGGCGTACTAAGGGGGGGGCGGGGGGGGCGTTCCGCCCCGGGTGCCAGCCTGGTGGGGGGTGCCATGGCCAGCCCCGCCCCCCCCCCACGCTGCAGCCGCCCGAGCGCTCTGTAGGGAGCCTCAGGCGGCTGCAGCTTTGCCCAGGCGGTGCGTCCATGAGGGCGGACCGCACCGCCCGGGCGCAGCATGGGGAGAGGGGCTGACAGGAGGGAGCGCTCAGCGCTCCCTCCTGTCAGCTTCCTTTGCTGTAGCGTGGCCAAGCCCTGCAGCATTGATAGTCCGCGGGTACAGGGAGCAGCTGTCTCCTGTACCCGGCCGGACTAACAGGAAGTGAACACTGAGTGTGCACTTCCTGTTAGTCCGGCCGGGTACAGGAGACAGCTGCTCCCTGTACCCGCCGGCTACAATTGGGCCCCGGCCACTTACAGAAGTGCTGGGTGGGGGGGAGAGAAAGGGGGGGGTGAGAGGGTGGGTGAAAAGAGGAGAAAGGGGGAGAGAGAAAGAAGGGGTGAGGAAAAGGAGGGGGGTGAGAGGAGAAGTGTTATAGAGAGGGGGGGTGAAAAGGAGAAAGGGGGGTGAGAGAGGGGGCTGAAAGAGGAGAAAGGGGGGGTGAAAAGAGGAGAGGGGGTGAAAAAGGAGAGGGGGTGAAAGAGGAGAAAGGGGGGTGAAAAGAGGGGGTGAAAAATAGGAGAGGGGGGGTGAAAGAGGTGAGAAAGAGGAGAAAGGAGAGGGGGGTGAGAAAGGAGGGAGGGTGAGAAAGAGGAGAAAGGGGGGGTGAGAAAGGAGGTGAGAAAGAGAAAGGAGGGGGAGAGAAAGAGAAAGGAGAGGGGGGTGAGAGAGAAATTAGGAGGGGGGAAGAGAAATTAGGAGGGAGGGAGAGATATTAGGAGGAGGGAGAGATATTAGGAGGGGGGAAAGAGAAATTAGGGGGGGAGAGAAATAGAAATTAGGAGGGGGGGAGAGAAATTGAAATTAGGAGGGGGGAAGAGATATTAGGAGGGGGGAAAGAGAAATTAGGAGGGGGGTGAGAAAGAGAAATTGGGAGGAGGAGAAGGAAATTGGAGCGGGAGGAGAGATTGACATTCATCACATACACACAATGCACCCCTTGCACACAGAAAAACACACAATGCATTACACACACAGACACACATACACAAGCAATGCAACCGTTACACACAATGCATCCCTTACACACACAGAAACACACAATGCATTCATTACACACACTCAATGCACCCCTTACACACATTCAATGCATCCCATACATACACAGAAACACACCTTGCAGCCCTTACACATACAAACACAATTTCACACAATGCATTCCTTACACACATATCAGGACATCCCTTACACACTCCACCCCCTGTGAACAAATTCATTGGTGGAACATGAAGGTGGACCCTGGGACCCAGACCTTGAGCTGTGTAAAGGACCCCCAAAAAATGGAGCTGCTTCCCGTTCTCCCAGAACATTGATTTTTGTGACCACAGTTACAAACCGCCTCCAGAGAGACTGTTATGCACCAGACCAGTGGAGCCAGACTGCAGCTAGAGCCCATCATCATCCTCATCTGGTTGTAAGTAAGCAATCTAGTATATTATTCGTGGCACTAAGCTCTAATTTACCTCACATTAAAGAAACACTATAGTCCCCAGAACCACTTCAGCTTAATGTAGTGGTTCTGGTGTCTATAGCCTGTCCTTGCAGGCCTTTTAATGTAAATACGGCGGCACTGCAGCACAGGCGTTAGTTAACATGGCAAATCATATGGCTGGGGCATTGTGATGTCACATGGGGGGGGCGGCAAACTTTACTTTTGCCTAGGGCGGCAAAAATCCTTGCACCGGCCCTGGCTGGAGGGGGCTGTGTGAGCAGTGGCCGCACAGTGTCCCATGGTAGTTAGGGTGCCGTGCAGCCAGTACAGCTCACACAAGCAAACAGCTGATAAACTGGCCGCACGGAGGAAATGTGTATGTGTGACTGTCTGCCTGTGACTGTGTGTGTGGGGCTGCAGGGATTTTGTAGAAGGGGGTGGGGGTTTTGTATTGGGACAGGAGTCTTTAAAAATTGTAAAAAAAAAAAAAAAAGAGAGAACCTTTACATTTTTTTACAGGTTTTTTTTTTTTTGTGTGGGGGGTGGGGGGGTGCCAAGCACAGGATCTGCCCCGGGTGCCAAATGCTCTAGGTACGCCCCTGCCCCCTCCTGTGTCAGGTCCCGACATGTTATTCTGCCCTAAGCATAGGCAGTGCAGCACGGAGGTGTGATTAGGGTATGCCCAGGCACACCCGGCACACCCCGTGCGCACGCCTATGTCTGACATGTCAACTACATTCCCATGCTGAGTTGTAAAACGTTTACTGAAACATATTCAGTAAACAACTGTATATTAAAATATAATGAAGTTATACACTAATCAGCCACAACATTTAAACCGCTGACAGGTGAAGTGGATAACATTGATTATATTGTTACAATGGCACCTGTCAAGCAGTGGGATATGTTAGGCAGCGAGTGAACAGTCAGTTCTTGAATTTCATGTGTTGGAAACAGGAAAAATTGGCAAGTGAAAAGATCTGAGTGACTTTGACAAGGGCCAAATGCTGATGGCTAAATGACTGGGTCTCCAATCGTCAAGTCGTGTGGAGTGTTGCAAGTATGCAGTGGTTAGTACCCACCAAAAGTGGTACAAGGAAGGACAACAAGCCTCAGGGTCATGACCGCCCAAGACTCCTTGATGCTACTGTTCCTCAAATTGCTGAAAAGCTTAATGCTGGCCATGATAGAAAGGTGGCAGAACACAAAGCGTATCGTAGTAGTCACAGACTGGTCATAGTGCCCAAGATGAAGCCTGTCCACCACCGAAAGCACCTTCAATTGGGACGTGAGCATCAGAACTGGACCATGGAGCGTTGGAAGAAGGTTGCCTGGTCTGATGAATCATGCTTTCTTTTAGATCAGGTTGATGACAAGGTGTGTGTCATTTACCTTGGGAAAGGATGGCACCAGGATGCACTATAGGAAGGAGGCAGGTCAGTGGAGGCAGTGTTATGCTCTGGGCAATGTTCTGCTTGGAAACCTTGGGTCCTAAGATTCATGTGGATGTTAGTTTGATATGTACCACCTACCTAGAGATTGTTGCAGATCATGTACACTCCTTCATGGCAGGGGTGTTCCCTGATAGCAGTGGCTTTTTTCAGGAGGAAAATGCACCCTGCCACACTGCAAAAACTGTTCTGGAATGGTTTGAGGAACATGACAAAGAGTTCAAGGTATTGCCTTGACCTCCCCAAATGACACAAATCTCAATCCGATTGAGCATCTGTGGGACATATAAGATTAAGGGAGGCCCCAATTTGCAGAATCTAAAGTATCTGCCGGTAATATTTTAGTTCCAGATACCACAGGACACATTCAGAGGTCTTGTGGAGTCCATGTGTCAACATATCAGAACTGTTTGGGCAGCCCTAATGGGAACTAGTCAATATCAGGCAGGTAGTTTTAATGTTGTGGCTGATCAGTGTAAGTTATTAACTGATACAAAAAAAAAAAAAAAACAAGTTCTGCGCTCACTACCATCCATCCTGGGGGCAGCAACGACCACATTACACATCAGCCCCAATACATACAGTAAAAACCAAAGAAAAAGTTACCTGCACTCTCTCCTAAATCCCTATGTATATTTAAACAAATGGAGGTCATTTAGTTACTCCAATGGCCATTGGAGGGAATGCCCGTCTGCCAACGTCAAGGCAGACCCCCTCAGGTGGGTTCCTACACTGACTTTTTTGTATCACACAGCTATGTTACAATGCTGCTGCCCATCCCATGTGTTCCCTATTAAGGGTTAATAAGTATGTAGGGATGTATATAAAAAATACCCCTCTCTGTCTCATTAGAGATATCTTTGCCAGAAGCTCAAGGAAGCAAGGTGAACAGTCAGTGTAGGACCCACCTGAGGGGGTCTGCCTTGACGTGGCAGGTGGACATTCCCTTCAATGGCCATTGGAGTAACTAAATGACCTCCGTATGTTTTAAACTGGCCTGGGTTCAGCATGAATTATATGTCTATATAGACAGCAATCACAACATGCTATTTACTAGTTTGTGTAATTAGATAGTGTTGCCAGATATATGAGGATTCTAACTGGGGTATAACTGCGGCATAGAAATGCAATTCCATCTACCAGTAGTAGAACGACTTTACTGAGAAAAAAATAATATTTTTTTTTAGCTGAAATCCTCCACTATCAACTACTAACCCCAGGTCTAAGCTCCAACCTTCACCGAAGCTTGGATTGAGACCTTTACTAGTCTCAGAAGTGACTAATACTTATTAGACCTCCTAAAGCAGTTTCCTAACTTTTTTTGAGCAAGGTATGTTTTATTTACAGAAAAAGTTCCAAGGGACACCTACTTTTTATTTTTTATCTTTCTCAGCAGGTTTTTAAAAGTCACATTTACTTGAATGTTTACTAGAGAAATGTAAATACTTCTAGTTTAATTCACATATTAGGCTTCATTTCCACATTGAATGCTGATCCTTGTTAGTCCTTATTTTAAGGACTGCATTAAACATGTATATTCATTAAGTCAGTGTGTTGGTGGTCCAGTTTGATGTAACGAAGCATACTAGGAAACCCCAATACAATGGTTTAAAACATTGCTCCATAAACATTGCTTTGTCTTAGGATATCGTTTGTGGTGGATTTTCAATCAATGTGAGTATTCCATTTAAATTTTATTTTATGAAATACTCAATTTTTATGTCTGGGGTGGGGGTCACAGAGTCTCATCTAATTATCGCTATTTTCAAACTAAAGATGATTAAGAGAAAGAGAGAGAGAAAAGAAAGTATTCAGCGTAACTGTGATCTTCCATATTGCGCCCAACTTGCGTTGGCGTCCCTTTACGAATTCTCCTTACACTATTCTATCTTGATTATGTAGGGTTTTGTAGACACATTTAAGGAAACAATATGGACTGGTCTGAAATGTTTTTACTGCTGTAAGAAGACCGTATTATAGAAAGCAGGTTATGTCAGTTGTTGGGAGAGACAGGAGAAAGAAAATTGCCCGTTGGCTACTTTGCAATTTCATCCAATTGTATACAATATATACGAGAAAGTAGCCAGTAACAATACAAATACTTCGCTTTTATGGTTTTGGTTTTGGCTTTGACGTTGTGGCAGTGTCGGCCTGGATTTCTCCTCTCTAGCCTCCTTTCCATCAAACATATAGACTACTGAAATAGGGCCTCAGCTTTTTCCTTGGTAAATACATATCATAAACACAGCAATCAGAATACAGTATAGGCATGTGCTCGGAGAGGCAAGGAGTGTGCTGGGTGTATGGAGATATCCCCTGGCTTTAAGCACTTCTGAGAGAATTTGGTTTAGATTACTAAGCTTTTGAAGAAAATAAAGTAAAATTAAATAAAAATAAAAAAAATATGCTTGTCACTTGGTTATCATTAAAAAATAATAAATAGATAAATTGTATTTTATACCTAATATTTCACACATGTATTTTCTAAGAAATGTTTTGGTGGAATGTTTCTGTGAGTGGACACCCCAAGTATTGTACGCTCATATGGGATACAGCTACAACTGGAATTATGGTCGGTGAGAGAGAAACATCCAGATGAGAATGACCTAATCAAGGCCCTTGTCTACTAAATTAGGTCATAAATAGTAAGTGTGACATATGTACGAAATGGAAAAATTGCAACAAACTCATAACTGCAACACAAGTTGGTCTGAAAGACTAGGAGCCACCTCTGGCCCAGCTTGGAAACCTGAGATGGATACAGGAGGTATAACTCTAACTGATGATTAAATATTTGGTTTCCTTACTAGGGGCCTTGATCTAATTTGGGTAAGAGGATATCTTTCCTTGTCATAGACCCCCTGGACAGGAAATAATGTTACTTTACAATCAAAGCGAGTAGTTAGGTTTTCTGTTAATTCCTCCTTTTTATTTTTAATTGTTGTTGGTGTAAATAATTTGTTTGTCAATTGTTTTTCAAATGCACTGTGACTATTGTGTTTTTCATAATAAATATTCCATAAGTTCTACCATTGGTAAAGACTCACATTACGTCACGGAGCCCATGACTTCTGAGCAGAGCGCTTGGCAACTGAAGTGTCTGTAATACTAAAAATTGGAAGAGGAAACCTGGAGATCCGCCTGGATGTTAAAGCATCCCAATGCAGCTCAATGAGAAGTCTTTGCAAGGCAGGTGCTCTGGGCAATTGCTGCCTCTTGAGTTTATCTCCACTCAGCAAACCAGGAAGTAACAGGACAAGGTGTCTGATTGACAGCCAGGTGGGCGTAACAAAGTTAATTTCTAAAAGTGTAAATTTCTATTGAAATCTAAACTTTTTGTAAAATGAAAAAAAGATGACCCACTATTCACACATAAAGCATTTGTGTCCCTGCATAGAGGATTTAGGAGAGAGCGTTGTGGGTTTGCCATGAGCAGGGTTAAATAGCCAAGCGGTCAATCCAGTAACAGGAGCAACAATACAGCTGAGCTTATTAAGCTATCAAAACCAAGACGGTCGCTCCAAGAAAAATCGGTTAGATGAAAGAGAGAGATGCCAAGGTGAACAGGTTACTTAGAGGGAGCAGGAGCTGGAAAGGAGCACATTTAGGCAAGCGCCAACAGGTTGGATTGAGACCCAGTAATCGAGCTTTGATTCATTGGAGAGCTGGGTTTAAATAGGCAGGAGAAACATAGAAACATAGAATGTGACGGCAGATAAGAACCATTCGGCCCATCTAGTCTGCCCAATATTCTAAATACTTTCATTAGTCCCTAGTCTTATCTTATAGTTAGGATAGCCTTATGCTGTAACTCCTTTATAGCTGTAACTCCTTTACTGTGTTAACCTCTACCACTTTAGCTGGAAGGCTATTCCATGCATCCACTACCCTCTCAGTAAAGTAATACTTCCTGATATTATTTTTAAACCTTTGTCCCTCTAATTTAAGACTATGTCCTCTTGTTGTGGTAGTTTTTCTTCCTTTAAATATAGTCTCCTCTTTTACTGTGGAGGAGATGCAGGAATGATTAACCCTTTTGTGGCAAAAGGGACCTCGCCACTGGTTTTTGGAGGGGACTGATTGCCAGCCTCATGCCTTGGGACTATGGCCCCTGGGACATTGGGCACTTTAAAAACAGCATTTGGGGCTTATGGATTTCTATTGGACTGTGTATGGCCCTTGTTAAACTTAAACCCCATGGCAATTTTATTCTGTTCGTGGGATCTGAGCGCTGTTCGGATATCTTGAGTTTGTATTTGGAGTATGCTGATTCTGAAAATGTACGTTGTATGTGAATGTGATGTATACTTTTAAAGTTATGAATATTGTGTAAAATTGTGTATTTTCCTGCCTGTGATAATTACGTTAGCCCATTGTGTTCAGTAATTATATCACAGGCAGAGGGGAGGATTTTGTGTGTAATTGCTGGGAGTATCTGAGTGTATTGTACGTATTGATTGGTTGTTCTGCAAAACCCTGTGGGCAGTACTATGTGTGTAAAATATGCATAAAAGCAGAATGTTGGATTAAAGCTTCAGTTCTACTTCACCCTCAATTTGGAGTCCTGTCTCTTATTGGGGGAATCTGCTACAAGTGACTGCTATGCTCTGCATATTCCCTTGCTATAATCACTCCTAAGCTCTTTTAAGAGCTTGTTCCTGTCGTGCTCTCTGAAGGAGTCTACGGTGGTTATGGTGTTGGCTGGAGTGCTTGGAGACCTCAGGAAGCGCTAGGAGCATCCTTCAACGGAAGTACCCAGTCGGGGTGCCAGGTGATCCGTTACATCTTTCCTATGGAGACATTCGGACACGCGGGTAATACATGTAAAAATAGTTCCATAGCTGTAATGTGTACAGATAACAAAGGCTGAGACGTTTATGAAGATCTCCAGAACTCCAAAATGGCGTCATTTTCCCGCATTTACACGATTTCTTACAATTAGTGTTAGGATAGGATTTAGACTATATCTCGGGTTTAGGCAGGGGTTCTTGTTTGTCCCTTGGTGTCAGCCTTTCCCGTGCGAGCGCACACTATGCGTGCATATTAATGCCAGCACACTAAGCCCATGCTCACTCTGCTGTGGTCTGCTCGGAGTGAGGCCATCCTGTGAGCTCGCAGTAAACCTGGTGTTCATTCATTCAGAAACAAACACCCTTTTTGGTCTGGAGTAATTAGTTCTGGTTTACCTAGTGCAACACACAGAGGAGAGGGAGTCTGACTAACACTGGGCCGCTCAAACTGGAAGTGGATAGGGATTCACTAACACCTATAGGCAACGAGAACACTCTAAAGTTGTGTGCAAATACCAGGAGCGACCTGTGATAATGGCTCAAATATGGTGGTTTTAAAAAGTGATATATTTGATTATTTATATGGGGTTCTCTATGCAGAAATTCATGTATTTTTATGTGAATTGTAGATACCACAGAAACACTCTGAATATATGATTCTTTAATGCCAACATATTACTTAGCATTAAAAATATGTTCCCCACAATGATAGATTGGTGCCATCATGTTCTATACATCCATAAGTAATTTAACTATTAGGTTTTATTTTTGTATCTAATACATTTATCTTGTTCATTCTTTGATTATTTTACTTCTGGCTATTTATAATATCACCCATCATTACATGTCTCTCGTATTTTCTTTATAATCTAAGTGACTACATAGACACTATTTGTAATATAAGGAAGTATTCTTTCAAGCAAATGATGTCACTCCTATTGCTATTTCGTTGTATAATTATGACATGTTATATTATATAACTGTTTACTATCATGTCACAAAGTGCATAATGTACTACAAGTATTTTTATTACCTTAACTGAGAATTAGGTTTTTATATGAATGTACAATTATCGTATGCACACCACACATTGA